GAGTCGTTTAGGGCTTCCTGTTGCACATTAAAATAATGCGACGTTGTCAAAAATACAAGAACTATATATATACCTATATATATAGAAAATGTCTAAAACATATAAAATCGAAATTCAACATTTATATACTATAAAAATTCCGAATGGAACTAATAATATTATACAAAAGATATGTATAATGTAAAAAATTATAATACTATAATTTATAAAATATATTATTATAATTTACAGCTCGTATATGTACTCTCTAAATTTGAATTAGTTAAAAATAACTTTTTTTTTTTTAGCAAAAAGTCAGTTATTGATTCAAATATTTCTACTCTTTTTTTATTACACGGAAAAAAATCTTTATCTGGAACAGCAATATGTTTCTCTATAGAATAGCGAAAACTTTCTCTGTTTTAGTGAAACATATCGCTATTCCAGTGAAACTTATCGCTGTTCCAGGTGAATTTTTTTTTTCCGTGTACTAAAATGCGTACCTCTACTAATTTTTTTAGTTAAAAATAACGAATATTTATACAATAATAAATATATTTTTATATTTATAATTTTTTTTTTTTACTAATTGCTGAAGGAAAAAGTTAACCAAGATTTTAATAACAATTAGTTATTTTTAACTAAAATTCAGATTTAGAGAGTAAAAAATAATTCATCCGTCGCTTATTTCCATGTGCAAAAGAATATTGTAATGGAAAAATGTGGCAACACCGCACTAATGATGTGTATGTATACCTATATCGGTTCTTTAACTACACGCAGATAAGACCGTAATTTTCCATATATATATAGTGAACTGTTTGATATACAATTGGCAAATTATTTTAAATCTATTACATTTTTATAATAAATATAATAATCTGGATATTTTTAAAATCTAAATAATCATATATATAAATTACAATTTAAAAGAAATATATATCAGCAACGCGCGCTCATAATATGTATGGAAAATGGAGCCAAATCGATACGGAATTATGTAATAATTTACGATATTCAACACAAAAACCGATTATTTTTGTACTTAAAAATTTAATAACGAAAAAAAGTATTTCTATATTATATGTATCTACGAGAATTTTTGTAATTTATTTATTTATGATAAGAAATATTTATTCACCTTCCGAAAGTCAAATTACGATAAATATTTCTTTTTTAACTCGTAAAAATGTATATAAAGTAAATAAATATTATTTATAAATATTAAATAAATATTTCAATAATTTATTTATTTTTAAATAATAAAATTAGTATAAAAAGAAAAAAAACTTACTTGGATTTGATTTACTCTTATTTTTCAATATTATATAAAAAAAAATCTTTTAGGCTATATATATATATTTGTCTCATGAGGCAAATAAATATTTATTTGTTCCAAATAAATTTCATTTGCGCTAAATAAAATTTTATTTGTACTAAATAATTTTTTTTTAATTAAAAAAAAAAAAAATTGTTCTAAGAAAAATAAATTTTTATTTGATTCGAATAAATTTTATTTGTCTCAATAAATTTATTTTTGTTTATCACTTGGTGATATTAATTATACAGATGTTTGAATAATATTAATAAATATTTTACTTTAAATAACTCATGCTATTAAATTATTATTATTATTATTATTATTATTATTATTATGAAATTATTAAATTTATTTTATTAATTTATTATAACTAACACCAATTTTCAAAATTTTGACAAATTTAAAAAAAAAAATTCCATAAGTTCCATTTTTAAATTTTTTTTTGAAATCTCATTTAAGCAAATTTTTTGGCATAGTTTTTAGTTTTAATGGTAAAACAAAATTTCAGACAATAATTAAGTTTTGCAGATTATTAAATTAATTTTTGTTTTTATTGTTAAATTACAGACGCAATAATTAAATTTTACAGAATTGAAAATAATTTATCAAATAATTTTAGATAATATTAATCTTCATTGATGTTTTGTCCAAATTGATAATAATTAATAATTTTAATAAAAAAGATGTTTTAACATTATATATCTTTTCTGTCCTAATAAGAAATGCCAAAATTTATTGAAAAAATTTTAGATAACATTTTTTTAAAGTAATTGTGAATTTTAAAAGATTTATAAAATTCAGATTTTTGTAAATAATGAATTTTTTTAAAAAATTTTAAACAATTATTGAATTTTAAAAAAATTTTACATTAAAAAATAGTTTAAGATATGTAATTAAATTTTTTGAAGAATATTAACCCTTTGAGGACAAGTTTTGATTTCAGGCAATATTTTTTTATTATCTTAAGTACAAGTTCCTTGATTTTTAAAAGTAAATATTAGACCAATGTTTTTCATTTATTAGTCTAATAAATTTCCAATTTTAAACTCTGGTTTTGAGACAAAAAATCTTAAAATTAGTTTCGCTGAAAAATTTGTTTAAAAATCAATAATCGTGATTTTTTGACTTGCACCCCCGCACCTAACCCAAACTTTATAAGCAAGAATTATCATATTACAGAATTTCATTTTTTATCATTTATTTTTTTCGATTATTGTTAGAAGATTATTGTATTTTATAATAATTTTGATTTGTTTTAATTATCAATTGAAGAAATTTGACTAGATAAATATAATAATTAATTATTTTTACTTTGCTGAATACTAAAATTGTAGAGAAGTTTAAATTTTTTGAAATGTTTATTAATAATATTTTTGAAGGTTAAGTAAATTGGAATAAAGAATTTTTTCTATTGATATAGAATATAATGTTTGTAGTATGGATTTTTATTTACATACTTCTTTATTTATTAAAATTGTAATATATTATTTTATGTAATTATTAACATTTTTATTCTTCGATATATTTCTATAATTAATGTTTTTGTTAAATAAATTTTTATTGAATTTACAATAAAAATATTTTGTAATTTTTGTTCCATTTATTTGTCGATGATTATAAATTTTTTAAAATATTTAATAATTATTATACACAAATTTTATTACTTTTAATTTTTATATTACTAAATTTTTAATTATCTAAATTAATTTTATGATTATTTTTGTTGTATTTTATTATTATAATATTCAATATTAATAGTTTAAAATTTTAATATTTATCTATTTTTTTACTTTATATTAATATTACTAAAAAACATTTCAAAAATTTAAACTCCTACAATTTTAGCATTCAGCAAAGTAAAAATTATTAATTATTATTTATCTAGTAAAATGTACTTATCTTAAATAATTTTTTTTTCAATTTATAATTAAAACCTTTTAACAATATTCGAAAAAAATAAATTATAAAAAATGAAATTCTGTAATATATAATTTCTTGCTTATAAACTTTGGGATTGAGGGGGGGGGGGGGGGGTGCAAGTCAATTTTTTAAGAAATTATTTGGCTCTCAAAGTATTCAAAAAAATAATTTAAAATAATTAAATTTCAGAAAATTTTATAGTTGAAAGTTATTTAATTTCAGAAACTTTTACATGGAAATTTTAAAAAGGTTTTAAATTGTAATTTTTGAAAGTAAGTTAAATTTTAAGTGATTTTGAAATGAAATAATTTTTTAAAAATTTTATTTGATTTTTTTTTTTAATATATAAAATTTAATATATATAAAATTAAATTAAATAAAAAATTTATGTCAGTATACGTATATATTTGAATGGAAAATTCGGAAAATTGTTCTATTCCAAAAATAATCAATATATAAATTTTCAAAACACATTATTCGAAAGTAAAGAGGGTTACTATGTTTATTGTTCACTATTCCATATATTCTATTCTAATAGACTAATCAAATTCTCATTATGTTAGATATATAAGTACCTGCACATAAGGTCTACTATATATATATATATATAAATGTATACATACGTGCATAAAAGTCATCAATTTTCTTTTATTTCATGATCCTTAAACAGGTAATTTATTTGTCGAACTTTAACCACTAACTATATATCTCTCTCAAATGTGCTTAGAATCATTTAGGAAATTCCAAAGATTTTAAAAGTATTAAAATGTAATTATGAAAACTATAAAAGTTTTGTTGGGCAAACACTTGGCGATTATTTTTGTTTAAAAGGTTATAACTTCACAATTCTCCATTTTTGTATTTAAATTAGATTTACCCCACTTTAAGAACTTTTATATTTGTTTAAGTTTTTGACAAAATAAACATAAAATATAGTCAAAAGAAATAAATAATGTGAATTTAATCGCTTACCATGCTTTCATCCACGCCGGTATATTTTGATCAAAAAATTGAGAGCGTCATTTGTACATCAATTTTTCACTATATAACATTGGTAGAAAATTTTTCGTATTTATGATTAATATATTGATTCTAATCTTTCTTTTTATATAAAAAAAAAAAACGTCAACTGAATATTAAAATATATTTATTTTTCTTAACACTATTATAATAAAAATGATAAAACTTTGAACATTTGTCCAAGACATTTTACTTTGTAGCAACTTTTAGCACATCTGATGGCGAGATTAGGTACTACTTAAAGGTTCATTCATTCATTCACATATGAAACGTCTGAAATGTTGCATATCACCGCGAATGATTTTCTGACATATCAGCAAAAAAATACGTTTAGAAATAAATAAATTTCTTCTATTTTTTGGCTTTTATATAACAGAAAGCGATAGACGAAAAATAAATACATAAAAGTAACGATCGACGGTTTTCTTTGTAAACACGGCCTTAGGTTAAGGATTTCTTACGTTAACTTACCGATTGCTAACATTCTACAGTATAAATTTTCCTCCTTGGAATTGGCCTCATTTTTTTTCGAAATAATTGAAAAATATTATTTTTCAAGAAAGAATTTTTTTCTTTTCCTTTTTTGTTAATAAATATTAAACTTATTGAAAACATTTTAGCGAATTTCTCATGTGACGTGTAACTTTCATTACGTAATTTTACCAAACCAAACAAACGAACGTTTCTGATTGGCTTGCAACGCTGCTAATTAAAATCTCATTAGTTACAACTCTATATAAAGTTTATTCTATGCATCGCTGACTTTGTATTTGTAGTGGTGGAGTGCAAGCCACAGCTTAATAGTGTTGTAAAGTGGTTTTTTTTTTCTTGTGTGTGGCATTTGCTCATTTTTTTGACAATATAGATTTTGTTTAAAAAAAAAAAAAAAAAAATGGGCAGCAAAGAGAATTCATCGTCGACAACAACGAAAACAACAACTGTAAATACAAAAACATATGGTAAAATATTGTTAACACTACAAAATTGTCTTTTACCTGAGGAAAAATTAGTATCGACGCCTTCACATTTGGATGGTCTTGACGCGGAAACAGAAACTGAACTTCGCATATTAGGATGTGAACTTATTCAAACCGCTGGAATTTTATTAAAATTGCCACAGGTAATTATTATTTACATATATATTTTTTTTTATTTTTTTTGCTTATATTTTCAAAAAAAACTTATCTTTTTTTTCTCTGTGTCTAACCTCAAACTATGCCTTTCCTGCGTTAATTGTCAAATTTCATAAACGAATACTTTCCAGAAAAAAAAAATATATATTAAATTCCTAATTTTCGATTTGCACTTACAATAGGTAATGTAATTTTTAAAATTATTTTTAAAAAATCATAAGCTTTTTTTTTTTTTTTTTTAAATCATTTCTGATAAGTTCGATTGCATTACGTATATTGTCAACATAACCTTCAAATGATTGTATTTCATAATGTATAGAAAAAAATGTATAAACCTCTAAATTAAGTTTTACATTTTGAAATAGTACAATAACAGTACTATAAGGTTAAGGGTGGAAAAAAATCATTTGTAATTAACTATAATTATAATACATTTAGTTATTTTTACGAGTGTGGATTTTATAAAAAAAAATGGATTTTCCTGTATTTTATGTTTAAAAATTTTTTTAAAAATGACTCCAAAAGTAATTATCGGTTTTTTTAAATTTTACTTTTGGAGTTTCATTTTAATTTTCTTTTTAGAAAATTTGTACTATATATAGAAAACAATTAATATTTAATTGTTGTATTTATGTTTAACATTATTACATTATGAAACTTGAAATATGTCTACAAAATTATGTGTTTTATGTATTTATTTTTATTAATTAGTATTATAATATTCTCAAGTGAGAAACAATATTTTTAAATTAAAAATATTCTATATTTAAAAATTGTTCATTATAATGAAACAAAATGATTTTCGTAAACTAGGTCTGTCAGACCCGAGGAGAATTGGGATGAAAAAACGTTTGCCACTCATTCTGGAACCAAAATGAAACTTGGAATATGATGGGTAATTTTTAATAGGATATGAGACAAAAAAAAAAAAAAAAAAAAAAAAAAACTTTCAGGCAAATTCTTAATTGAATTACGTAGGATGCCTGGAAATAGTGAAAAATCTATAGAAAAATTCCTTTTTTCCATTGTCTCGAAAAAAGGTAACGCTGATAAAGCTTTACTGATTTTGAAGTCAAAAAAAAATCATATTTTTTTTTACAGTGATTGATGAAGTGCTTCTTATAATTGAAACTTGTGATTGTTTAATATAAATTAATATTTTTCAGAAAAAAAATTTTACAGGACAAATAATATATTGTTTATATATTGAAGGATACAAATGTAATAGATTGATATTAATTGAATAAGGAATATTGTTTATCTCTTTAACCCTTCAGCGCCTTATCGGTAAGTAGTAAAACGCTGTAAAAAATTTTCAGAGTTCACAAATTGTTTAACGTTTGAAAATTGTTGTATTTTAAGCTCATCAAAATAATTATGAATTTTATTTTTAAATTTACAAACTTGAAGTACGCAACGTTTATGATAAATGATTTTTAAAGAAATAATTTTTTAAAAGGAAAATTTTTATAGTTTTTTGCCTAAAAAATATATTTCTTGTAGTTTTTATTAATCAACAAATTATTGAAAAAAAAAAAATATTATTTTAGGTAAATAATTTAATAAATTTACGTGTTAAATAAAAATTGATTTCTAATCGTTGACCATAAACGTTGCGTACTTCAGCATTGTTTTAAATTTTAATATTAGCACGATGTTATACTTTTTTTATTGCATCATTTTGATCCTAAAAACATACAAGGTGGTAAAAAAAATCTTAATTTTTAACCATTTTAGAATTTTTATTTAAAAAAAAAAAAAATTAAAATTTTTCACGATTTTTCATCGACATTTTTTTCACAAGTTTTTCTAATAATTTTTTCGAATCTTCCGTACGGATTTTGAAAAATTTAAATTTTTTTAAAAATGAAAGAAAAAATGAGTTGTAATTTCATTAATTTTTTCCTTTTAATTATTGAACTACTTTTACAATTTTGACTATATTTCAGTGCCAATTTTTTTATACTATTTTTTTTTTAATAATTGTTTAAATGATTTTAAATGATTAAAATACAAATGATGTAATAAAAAAAAAAAAAATAACATCGTGCAAACATTAACATTTAAAGAGGTCAAAATAAAGGAAACATACATGTAAAACAAAAATTAAATTGAGACTAAATTTGAGATTTTTAATTTTAAACAAATTTTACAAAATAATTTTTTTTTTCTCTGTTGTACAATTCACAAAAAGTTTAACAGTTTTTAGTCCTAGAGAAATTACAAAATTTTTTACATTGTATGAATATTTAAAAAAAAAAATAAATATTTAAATAGACATAAAAAAATTTTGTACAAATAAAATAAAATTACAAAAAAATAATTGTAAATGTAAACGCATACTTTGAACTAATGTATTTATTTTTTCTTATATATTCAATTATATGCATGACTAAATTAATTTTTAATCACTAGGGTCATTCCATTATATTTCACCTAAAGTCGTTGCGGCCTAATTTTTAAAGAAGTTGATACTTTCAGAAATGATTTTTTATGATATTTAGGAAACGAAATAAAAAGAATTAAGTTTAAATTTTTATTATTTATCTCAAAATATGTATTTAAAGTGGACAAGGTGCGGAAAAATGTCACCTTTTTAGCATTTAGAAACTTTTTTTAAAAACATAGAAAAATTGTTAAAAGTGTAAAAAAAATTATTTTTTCTTGTTTAGAATCGATTAATTATCTATTTTTTAATGATTAAAGTAGTAAATAAATTAAAATAATATATAAAATAAGTTTTCAAAGTTGGTCTGTCAAATAACCTAATTTTGGGATTTTTATTAATTAATTACTAAAAAGTGGAGTTATTAAATAAAATAAAAACTTACCGAATGTAAAGTATTTGTGGTGAACTTTCAAATTTTCTTAGCACTTTGTACTTTTTAAATTTATAAATGTAAAAAATCTTGAGTCGAAAATTTGCACTTTGTTGACTTTTCCGATTTTTAATTGCTTGTAACTCTTTTGGTGCAAAATAAAAACTTTTGAAACCTTGTGGAATATTTAAGTTAAATCTAAATAAAAACTCACTTAAATTTTTGTGATGGATTTTGATCGAGATAAGGAGACAATTTAATTCCAAAATTGTACGTATATTTCCAGGTTAATGTATGTAATTTTTTTAAACTTGAAGTTGGGCCACTACTTCAAAGACGAAAAATTACATACATTAACCTGGAAATATACGTACAATTTTGGAATTAAATTTTCTTCTAATCTCGATCAAAATCCATCACGAAAATTGCAGTGAGTTTTTATTTAGATTTAACTTAAATATTCCGCCAGGTTTCAAAAGTTTTTATTTTGCACCAAAAGAGTTACAAGCGATTAAAAATCGGAAAAATCAACAAAGTGCCAATTTTCGACTCAAGATTTTTTACATTTATAAATGGAAAAAGTAAAAAGTGCTAAGAAAGTTTGAAAGTTCACCGCAAATACTTTACATTCAGTGAGTTTTTATTTTATTTAATAATTCCACTTTTTAATAATTAATTAATAAAAATCCCAAAATTAGGTTATTTGACAGACCAACTTTGAAAACTTATTTTATATATTATTTTAATTTATTTACTACTTTAATCATTAAAAAATAGATAATTAATCGATTCTAAACAAAAAAAAATAATTTTTTTTACACTTTTAACAATTTTTCTATGTTTTTAAAAAAAGTTTCTAAATACTAAAAAGGTGACATTTTTCCGCACCTTGTCCACTTTAAATACATATTTTGAGATAAATAATAAAAATTTAAACTTAATTCTTTTTATTTCGTTTCCTAAATATTATAAAGAATCATTTCTAAAAGTACCAAGTTTTTTAAAAATTAGGCCGCAACGACTTTAGGTGAAATATAATGGAATGACCCACTAAAAAATGAAAAATTCTAAGAAAATACGCAAAATAATTAAAGCAAAAAAAAATATGCATAATTTTTAAAATAGGTTTTTAAGAAAATTAAAAATATTCTCAATGTATAAATAATTGAAAGCTTTATTTTAAATAAATTTCGGAAATTTTCAAATTTACTACACAAATAATGATAATTTATTATTTTAAATAATAAATGTAGTCAAATTCTATATTATGTAAATTAAATATAAATTTACTCAACTCTGGAATTTTTTACAGTGTATTTTGTGCGTTACAATTTATTTGTCATTTCAAAAATACGAAGAATTTTACATCAAATATGTCATTTATATAAAAAAAAAAATGTTGACCGATTAAATAATTACTACTTGAAAAAAAATTACAACAGAATTAATTTAAATAAAAAATAATAATAATAATAAATAAATTTAACTAAATATTTACTGTCAAACCCTACATAAATTGGTCCAATTTTCAGTACATTATTTCTAAAAATAGAGAAAATATTATTCTTTAAAACTAAAAAATAAATGAAAAATTATTATTTAATTCATTAATAAATTAAGAAAATATTTTTTTTTGGAAATTTAAATAAGAATAGAAATATTTTAATTATTAAAACATGGACGCTAAAGGGTTAAATTGTAATAACCATGTTTCTTACACAGTTATTGAAATTTCTGCTCTGAATACGATTTTTTTATTTTAAATTAAATATATGAGAAAAAAAGAACGAAAAATTGAAAATTATTGGATTAGATTAACACTTTGATCAATTGTTAATTTTACATGAAAATAACAAATCTCTAAAATATTAGCTCATTTAAAAAAAAGAAATGTAAAAAGTATTGGACGATGAAATTTTAACCTCATTTTTTCAAAATTTACCCATATTTTTCATTTTTTACCCCTTTTTCACCTCCTAGAAATTTTTTTTTTGGTATTTTCATTGAAAAGCTTAAATTTTTTTTCCAATAGATTAAATTTTTTTTCTAAAATTAGATTAGATTTATTTTCTCAGTTGTGTATTTATTACAAAGTTTAAAAATTTTTTATTTATAAAATATGTAAATATAATTTGGGGAACAATTTTTTTTTGTGAGAAAATTCTAAAAATCCAATTTTTTCCGTTTTTCACATTTTTTTGAAAATCTATTGTCCCATGAGTTATTTTATATATTTTATTATTATTAATTACATAAATTATTAGAAAAAATATCAGTTTTTCAATGAAAATAACAAAAAAAAAAAATTTGTTATGAGAAAAGGAATTAAAAATGAAAAATAATGGTTAATTTTGAAAAAAATGGAGTTAAAAATTTTTGTTTGAAAAAACTTTTTTTGACATTGATAACTACATGAAAAATCCTTCAAAAAACTCTATTTGCAAATTAAAATTCGTAGTTTTTTCATAGTTTTACGAATTTGAAGATAACAGTTATAAAAATTGTAACTTTTACTGCTTTCTATAGTTTTTTTTTAATCTGTTAATATTTTAGGCATTTATTAATTTCATACAAAAAGAAAATTTACAAAATATTGAGTCAATCTAATAATTTTAAATTTGGTATGGCTTTTTTCTCTAAAAATATACCTCACATAAAAAAATTAAAATAATAAAAATAATAAATTAATGTATTTTTCCAGTGTAAGAAAATTTTGTTAATAGTACAATTGCCAAATAATTAATTAAATGTGTAATTAATAATTTAATTAATTTATAATTTGAAATTCAAGTGAAATGGAAAATTTTTTTAAGTAATTAAATTTTTTTTAAATTATTAAGTAAAATTTTATAATAATAAATAGAAATAAATAATTTCTAAATTTTATAATATCTTTCACTTAGTAATTTCAACTTTTTAGAAAGAATAAAGTACATATGGTAAGTATATATTTTTGTATATTAATTAATTAATATTAATTTTATAATTAATATTATTAAATTAATAAATTATATTACAAATAATATTACTAATTATAATAATTATTTATTAATATTATTATAATTAATTATTAGTAATTATTTATTATAATAATTAAATTATATTAATATCGATTGACTGATTAATAAACCTGAATTCAGCATTGAGTCTACGAAAATCCATTATAAATTTAATAAATCCACACTCGAATTATAAGGTACTTAAGTACAATTTATTTTTAGCACTTTACTAAACTTTTAGTAAAAAAAAAAAAAATTGAAGTTGATGGTACCATAGTATTCGTCACAATTTACAAATTCAAAGGAAAATCTAAATGTTTTCGCTACCAAGAAAAGTATCGAATGAATAAAATATTATCAAAAAGTGAAATTTTCATTCATCTTTTTCTGAAAAATAAAAAGATAAATATTTATATATTAAATCTATTTTTCATTTTAAAAAAAAATCTACGTTTTTTTGTTTTATTCAGGTTGCAATGGCTACGGGTCAAGTGATATTTCAACGTTTCTACTACAGCAAATCTTTAGTGAGACATAATATGGAAATCACGGCCATGGGTTGCGTTTGTCTAGCTAGTAAAATCGAAGAAGCTCCAAGGAGAATAAGAGACGTTATTAATGTATTTAATCACATTAAACAAGTTTCCAGTCAAAAGTATGTATCCATATTTTATTAATCAAACATTATTTTATTTTTCAAAAAAAAAAATATATATATATATATATATAATTTTTAAACGCGATTTTAATTATTTATTATTACGATTTTTACGATTTTAATTAAAAAAATGTTTTATTTAATTGAATTTTTGAATAATTGGATTGAAATTATTAATTTAGCAAAGGATTTTAGATACAAATTTTAGAAATAATTGAATTTTGGATTAAGATTTTTAGAAATAATTGAATTTTTGGAGATTTTTAATTAAAATTTTTGTAAAAAAAAAAATTGAAAAAAATTATTAACAAAGTTTCAAACAGTAATTGAATTTTAGAGAATTTTTAATTAAAAAAATGTTTTATTTAATTGAATTTTTGAATAATTGGATTGAAATTATTAATTTAGCAAAGGATTTTAGATACAAATTTTAGAAATAATTGAATTTTGGATTAAGATTTTTAGAAATAATTGAATTTTTGGAGATTTTTAATTAAAATTGTTGTTTTAAAATACTAAATATTTTTTATAAGCTTCCGATTCCAAGTTCTAGGATTTAAAAATTCGAATTACTTAAAAATTCTACTGAATGAGAATTCTAATAATGTAAAAATAGATTAAATTAGAATTCTTTTCAAGAAACAGTTGGTTAAAGAGAAATTTTGTAAAATAAAAATTCTGTCAATTAAAAATTCGGTACTTTGAAAATTCCGTTGAGTAAACATTCATTTTAAAAAAATTCTATATTAAATGCTATTTTGTAAAATAAAAATTTATGTGAAAAATCATTTATATGGAATAATCATACGCTCCTACTGTTGTGCCAAAAACAAAAAGTTAATCGAAATTTAACAATAAACAGTATTTTCTTTTTTTTTTAAATAATCATGAGAAAAATGTTGTTAATTTTATTCCTTAGAATTTTTCTTCCAATTTTTTCAGACAAGAAAATATTTACACTTTAACGTCAAACTTAGAACTTAGTCTCTTACTATGCTTCGAAGCCTGAATTTTCATTTAGAATTTTATTGTATAGAATTTTAAAATGTATAATTTATTTATCTAATATTAATAGTTAAAAAAAGAAATTTTCAGTAGGTTTTCAAGCGTGCAATTTATTTTGTAAAATTACATTTTATAATATTTATTCAGAATAAGAGTTAATTTGTTTTTAAAATTTTTTTTGTTGAATTATTTCGTGATGAGTTAACAATTTATAATTTTCCTGTTGAGTAAAAATTTGCATTTTAATTTTATTTTACTTTATATTTTTAAATGTAGGGTTTATTTTGTCAATGATTTATACCGCTTCTTTTCCAAGCATAATTATATTATAATTTTTATTAAAAAAAAAATTTTTTCTTTCCTTTGCAGACCAATTCAACCAGTTATTCTCGATCAAAATTATGTAGGCTTGAAAAATCAAGTAATCAAATCGGAGCGACGTGTTTTAAAAGAACTTGGATTTTGTGTACATGTGAAACATCCACATAAAATTATTGTCATGTATCTTCAAGTATTGGGTTATGAAAAAAATAAAGGATTAATGCAACAAAGTTGGAATTATATGAATGATTCATTACGTTCGGATGTATTTTTGAGGCATCATCCAGAAACAGTTGCAAGTGCATGCATTTATTTGGCGGCTCGTCAACTTCAATTATCATTACCATCAACGCCAGCGTGGTTTTCTGTTTTTAAAGTTAAAGAGAAAGACATAAGAGACGTTTGCCGACGTATATTACGTCTTTATGTTCGTCCACGCATTAAACCAGAACAATTGGAGAAAAAAGTCGAGGAACTTAAACGACAATATGAAGAAGCACGATCAAAAGCTCGCGGGACAGATGCTGATGGTCACACGCCAAGTCCTCCACTTCCAAAACATCATAATGCTTGGGGTGGTTTTATTAGTCGAAGTGGATCCCACGCTATTCCAGAGAGAACGAAATCTCCAAGGTTTGTGGGAAATTTACAATTTTTTATTTAACATTAAATTGCATAAATTATTTTGTCTTTTGGCTCATTAAAAATACTAAATTACAAATATTGATGATTTTGTTTCCTGTTTCAGGAGATCGAAATCTACTAGTCCTTCACCAATGCGCGACGTTGTGAAACATTCGAAACGAAAGAAGCACAGCAGAAGTCGATCTCGAAGTCACAGTCGTTCGCACAAACCAAAAAAATCACAACGACGACGATCGAGTAGTCATAAATCGCGAAACAGATACAGATCACGAAGTAGATCCAGGGATCGAGATTTTGAAAAATCAAGTAAACATCGCAGTAAACATAGACGTCACTGATGATGTTACCATTAAATCAACAAATTCTTAGGTACATGTAAATGTTTATTTAAAAAAAAAAAGAAAAAAAAAATCACATTTTTTTTTTTTTTTGTTGCATTTCTGAAACTGGTCAACATCGATTTAAAAAAAAAAAAAAAAAAAACAATGAAATAGTAATGTATATTTTTATATTGACATGACTTAAATATCATTCATTTATTCATTACAAATTATGTAATTCAATGTAACAATTATTTTTCAAATAATTTGGAAAAAAATACAAAAATTACAATTTCTCTTTTAATATTTAATTGTGAAATTGTTTATGTTCGAATATTTCAATAGAATTTTTTTTACTTGATTGTATTTAATATCAAAATACATATGTGTAAATAATGATTGAGATGATTGCCAGTTTCTTAAAAAAAAAAAAAAAAAAAAGAAAATGATGTGAAAAGAAAACATTTGCACACCAGTGTATAATAAATTTTCACTTCTGTACAAAAATATTTTTACAAAACTATATAATAAAATTGTGTGTCCGTTTAATTAGAAGTGTTGATTGTTTTAAAAAATTCTGTAGGTAATGCTTTTTTTCTTTCTTGCATAATTATTGGTGAAAAATCCAAATTTAAAAGTTTCGGTAATAGAATGACAATATATGATCTATAGTTTGATAATAATTCAATTGGATTGCCGTGTAATGTTAGAGTACGAAGTTTTGTTAATTTTCTTAATTTCAAAATATTGTTTATATTTGACATTTTGTTACCATGTAAATAAATGATTTTTAAATTTGAAAATTGGACAAATTCTTCACCAATTTCTGTAATTTCATTAAACGAAAGATCCAACCAACTCAGCATACTTGGATTATCAAGTGTATTGTTCACAAAATTTGTGAGTTTTGCCGTTGATATTATTGAATTATGACTAAGCCAAAGGGAATTTGTTTGATAGCGATTTTCCGCTGTTCGTTTTGGAATTCTTCCGGTTCTTGTTGTTTGTAAATTTTTATTTGTCAGGTCTCTTAGAATATTTTAAATTATTATTATTATTATTATTTAATTATTATTGTTATAACAAGGTTGCCACAAGAATAAATTTTTCAATTTTCCCTGACATTAAAAAATTTTTTGACAATAAATTGAAATTCGGAAAATTCAAATCAAATTGAATAAATTAAAATTCGGAAACTCTGAAACTGAAATCGATTAATTTTAATAGATAGATTGAAATTTCATTAATTTAAAATTTCGATCGATTGAATTTGATTAAAATTTTAATTAATAAACTTGTTTTGACAAAAAATTAGAAATGATTGTAACTTGGATCATTTGAAATTTAAATTAAAATTTCGCTTGAATTGTAATTTGAATAGATTAAAATTTAATTTGTTCAAATTAAATTTCTGATAATTTGAAACTCAAATCAATAAAAATTTGAATAAATTAGAATTCAGATAATTTGAAACTATTAAATTGATTAATCTTTAGATATTTTAAATTTCAATCGATTCAATCAAATCAAGAGAATAAGGTGAAGAAGGTAAAAAATTATTAAAAATAGGTTGAATAGTTGAAAACAAATTATCAAAATAGGTAAAATAGTTGAAAAAGGTAAAGAAGTGATAACTAATGATTCCTTCTAGAGGCAAAATTGTTAAAAAATTTACCTACCTATTACAGGAAGTATACTTTTTCTGTAAATTTATTCAATTTTTTTTATATTTCTCTGACAAAAATATTTTTTCCCTAACTTGTGGCTACCTTGTATAATTAATTTATTATAAAAAATTATTATTATTATTACAAAAAGACAAATTTTTCTTTTCTTAAAAACTTTAAATTTGAGGAAAAAAAACATACCATCAAATGAAACAGCTTTCATGAAAGAATAATCTAGAGGAGGACTTATTATTTCTTTATCCTGATCAGTCCACCAATAAGTGGGACTTTGTTTTTTATCCATTACAAGAATTTTATTTTCCCCTTTTTGTTTACAAAAAAAAAAGGTAAATAAAAATTGATTTATTTTAACGTTACGAAACACGAAAATTGAAATTAAAACAAAAGACTAATGGGGGAAAAAAAACAAAAAAAAAGAAGATTGGAAACAATAAATAAGATTTAATCCGCAACCGAAGTTTATTTTTTTTCGATAAAAAGAATTTGATAAATTATTAAGTAAATGTCAAATATTTTGTATTTTTTCTTATTTTTTTTAGTTGTTTTGGCGTAAAACTATTACAAACATTATTGGAGCATCGTTCATTGAAAATTAAAAAATTATGCATCAAGCATATAATTCGATTATTTTTTTTTTATAATTAAAAACGAAGAAGTCTACATTGTACACATTGACATTAGTTTAATTAAAAAAAAAAAAAAAGATTTCACATTTTTTTCCATAAAATTACAAAAAAAAAAAAAAAAAAAAAAAACACATAACGTTTCACAATATTATTATAGAAGAATTTTCTCATATTAGTGACTGAAATGGAGCGATCTCTTATTGTTATTTTACAATATAGTTTATAATATTATCTGTACAAATATAAGGCACTCGAGTGTTACGAAAAATTATCTTTTCATGGCGCATATACATTAAAATCTCAAAAAATAACATTATACTACCTATATAGTATATATTCATATAATATATGTGTAAATATATATTATACGTTAATCCTAATAACAGGTAACGATGAATTATCTGAAAATATTTTTTTTTTTTTTTTTTTTTTTTAACGTAAAAGACGTAATAGCGATATTTGAAAAAAAAAAGAAATGCGAGGGCGAGTCGTTCAGAGTGTGATGGTCTAATATAAATAATGAAAAATATCGACGATTCATTAAGCACGCTAAGAATACTAAAATCCTAGTATTTACACAAAAGTATCATATCAAAATATAATATGATTTTCCATTTTTTTTTTTTTTTTTAATATTTATTTCACAATTAAATGAGTTCGTTGTTGTTTTTTTTTTATTTTAAAGCTATTAGAAAAAAAAAGAGAGAAAAAGTTGCTAATTAAATCAAACCTCGTCTGAGGCAAGTAATTCTTTATCCGTTGGTGGCGATGAAGAACGTTTTTCACTTCTTTCTTCCTCCTTCATTTGTAACGCCACCGCAGATTCTAAAACTCGAATTCGTCCCTCGTGCTTTAAAATTACTGCCTTTAATTTTCTAATTTCCTCCGCGAATTCCTTAATGATATCCTCCTAAATAGCAGAGAAATTTTATTTTATAAGATATACCGTAAAATGTAATAAAGTTGGCGAGTTTTTTTTTTTAATATTTTTAAAAAATTCAAAAATTTTTGTAGAAGGAAGTAGTTTTTTTTTTTTAGAAAAAAATCATGAAAGCTAGTCTCAATTAGTACAAAAAGAAAAAAAAATTAAAAAAAAATCAGAAATACAATTGCAGATGAACTTTGAATTTGGCCTTGGAATACATCATAAATGTAAAAAGAAAATTTTATTTCGCACAAAGTCGAATGAATTTTAATTTAATTAGTAATTATATTAAATGATCAGAATCAAAAAATGCTTACCGATACTTGTCCGACAGGTGCGTTTGAATTACCCGATTGAACTTTAGCTCCTTTACTAAGTAAATTGGCCTTTTTATTAACTTTGAGATCGTTTTTCGATGCTGTCGGCTGATAGCCATCCCTAAGTGAAATGAGCACTGGTTCAGCATCCTGACCGCCTTCCCATTCTTCTGCCGATATCGCTGCAGTATCACCCGGCGTATCAGGATACAAATCCTCTTGAAATAATTCAGACTGAAAATTAAAAAATATTCCGTTAGAACAAAAAAGAAAAATTCTTCTCATTTCAAATTATTTTCCTAAGTGAAATTATAGTAAATTAATAATTATTTTAATAAATTTTAGTATTTTGGAATAGGAACAAATTTTAATGTTTCGAAATTTAATATTCAATATTTTAAATTTCCAAATTTTAAAAAAGATATAAATATTTTTTTCTGTTCCAAAATGACAAAATTTATTAAAATAATTATTTATTGAAACAAAATATGGATGAATATTGAATAAATTATAAATTAATTTTAATTATTGTCTCATATTTGAATATTGTCAGAAAATATTTCATTGCCAACAATAATTCTAAAGATTTTAGAAACTCTTAGAATAATATAGATAACAATTTTTTCAGTCATTTCTATTCCTTACTATAAAAATATATTTCATAAAATTGAAAAAAAAAAAAAAATGATTAAATCACGATGCTAAAGTTCACAACGATTATAATCAACGATTTTTAAAGAAATATATTTTCGAATGAAAAATTCTATGAATTTTCGTCTCAAAAATATTTCTTGCCAATGTTTATTGATCAAAAAATTATTTAGCAAAAAAAAAATTTTAGATAAATTTTATTTTCCAATTTTAAAAAATAATTTGTTTTCTGATCGTTAATCATATGGACTTCAACATCGTATTAAATCTTATAATTTAGATATTTTAGAGATGACTGGACTTTTGATAGTTTTTTTTTTTTTTTTTTTTCTTTGTAAAACGATTTTTTTTCGCTACTCCAATATTAAACGAAAAAATATTCATTATTTCCAATTTAAGTAAAAAAAGAAAAAATAAATGAAATAACAAAAATAAAATTACCTTTCTTGGAACAGTCATAGAAATAACTTGACAGAATCCCGAATTATTAAGTCGATAAAATCTCGAGATTTCACAACTGTTCACATCGCATCCACGTTTTGGCATCATTCCGATTCCTCGTTGAGGATCGGGTGTTTGAAAAGTGTTAATATAATGTACAAATGGAGGTTCGGGCGTTATTTCAAAATAACGTATCACCGAATCCCCTTTACCACAAAGAAAAACCAAATTCGTATCAGGATCATAAAGTGGAAACATAACTCCATTACTAGTATCTAATTCTACCATTACTATAGGCTCGGCTAACATATCAGGGGCTCTTAATGAATATTGCCTCTCTGACATTTTACTAAAACCAGTTGTAAAAATTAAACCTCCCCTGTAACAAAAAATAACATTTTTATATCCAAAATACATTTTTCAATACTTTTATCATCAAAATGAAGTCATTTTTTAAATTAACTTTTTTCTTGGTAAATTATAAAAAAAAAAAAAAAAAATTGTTATCAATGTAACTAATTTAAATAACGAGTTTTTCTTTCAAGAAAAAAAAATAAATACCTGAGAAATATTGCACGTGTTGCTTTACTTCCTTCATGTGCGATAGCCTCCTCGAGAATTTTACCCGATCTTGGATCGAGGAGACGAATTTTTTTATCCTTACATGTGGTAACAAGTCGTGAACCATCCCAATTCCAACATGCCGAATAAACAACATCTGGATGACAATCAATTTTTACTAATGATTCACCGGTGCCAACATTCCATATGATAACTAAATTATCTGAGCCTGCTGTGAGCAATATATTTAATGCAGTTGGATGCCATAAAACTAAACCCACCCTCCTTTGATGTAATTGAAGATCAACAACAGATTCCGTTAATGTTCGTGATATTCCACCATCGGGAATTTGCCAAACTTTAACAACACAATCTTCAGATCCTGAGGCTATTACATTGTCATTATGTGGACACCATGCAATATCCAAAACAGGTCCCTTGTGACCACCAACTAATGGATGATCAGCCGATATTCTACCAACCTAAAATTTTTCAATTTTATTTTTAAATTGCACACTATTTTTTTTTTTTTTTTTCTATTTAAAGAAAAATTTAATTTAAATAATTGAGGAGTAAATTTTCAAAATCTGATAAATCCATTTTTCAAAAAAAAAAAAAAAAATGGAGATAAACATAAATTTAATATTTTAAGGACCTCACAAATCTTTCTGTCACTGTTAAATTTAAGAAAAAAAATTTGTTAACAACGAATTTTCAATTCAAAAACTTTTGGACATGATGAATTTATGTTTTTTATTAGAAAAAATTACCAATATCTGTAAATCATTCAATTATGATAAAGTTTTATTAAAAACAGAACGTCTTGAATATAAAAAACATTGTTATAGAATTAAACTATTACAAATTATCATTTGTTTCAATTTCTCAAAATAAGAAAATATGGATTTATCAGGTTTTGAAAATTTGTTCCTCAATTAAAGAAAATTTTTTCCAAAAGAATAAAAATTCATTTGTTTTGTGGTAATTTTAAAAAGAGGACAATAATTATATATATATATTAAGTCGCATTTATCAGTTGTATTATCTATGTCACGACTTTATCAGTAGCTTTCAGCAAAGCCTTATAAGGCAATAGAAAAAAGAGTGAATATAATTTATAATTAAAATTATATTTGCAAAAAGTATTTTTAAAAAAAAAATATATATATATATATATATTTTTTTAAAGTTATTTTAATAAAAAAGAAAAACATACCTTATTATGTGGTAAAACTATAAAAGCACCGCCTCCAGCCGATTCGACGATAATGGCCAAAAATTTGGGATTGACCGCACAAAATGTGGAATCCCAGGAAGACTTGGAAACTCTAATATTGTCATAGCACTGTTCTCGTTTTAAAGCTGTTCCGTACACGTGGCGGAATTTGCTACTGCGAACCACACGGAAAGACATACCTGGACCTAGAAAAAATTAACGCAAAAAAAAAACAAAACAAAAACAATTAAAATACGAATAAAATTATAACCTAAAATTTTTTTTTTTTAGTGAATACCAAAGTATTATAATTTTCTATTTTACATTCGGTGCCGTGGGCGTCGTGTGGATCATCCCCCAAATTTATAAATAGAAAATATTCCCCACCCTAAAAATATGTTGAAACGAATGTGAAGAGAAAATGAAAATATTTTCGAATCGCAGTGACGAAGGTTTAAAAAATTTATTTTTATGCCTTTAATAGAGCTGAGGAAGAATCAATTATTTTTAATAATTGTTTTTTTTTTTTTTTTTTTTTAATTAATTTCCCAAAAATAATGAAAATACATACTATTTTCTCACGTTCGTATCTGGAGCATGTTTTGGCGCGACACCGTTCTTCTAACGCTGTTATGTTTCGACTGTGCATATCACCCCGCCTCTCCTACTAACCGCGAATACTTTTTTTTTATATATATATATATACCACACGACTGGACGAAACTGAGAAAAACCATTATTCGGATCACGTAAACCGTATGTAATTCATCTAAAACGAGGGAACGAGTCAGTGTCATACATAAATATGAGTCATATATTGAATCCTTCATTGACATTTGTAACCTAAGCATATACACACCGCTATATGTATAAATGTATATTAAAAGCTCTATTAAAGACATTTCTTCATTTACGGAAATATTTATATATATATATATATATATATTCCTATTTTTAAAAAATCAAAAAATTGAAAATTATTTTTTTTCATAGATAAACCCTAAATTCTTACTGTCCGTTTGAGATTGATCCATTGTGCTTCAAAAACTACCACTTTCACTGGAAGACCAAAAAAAAAACTGGTTTCTTTTTTTTTCTTTTTATTATTACATGAATAAATATATAATTAATTAAAATCCAGAAGTATGCATATTGCAAACATGGACATATAGGGTGTGTTCTATACGCTGCGCGCGCAGATTTCTTAATTTAAAAGCAATCCAGCGATATTAGAAAAGAAAAAAAAAGCATTCATTGAAAAAAAAATCCATGATTTACAAAAACTGTCAAAAAAAAACAAATTTTTAAAAAATTTTATTATCGTATATAATGCAGGAACAAATGTTAAAAGACATGCGTGAAAAAGACGAGGCAAAATTGATCAATATATTGTTTATTTTTACGATTTAAACAATCATTTAGATACAATTGTTTTTTCTGTAATTGCAAATTTAAATTATTTTTTTTTTTTTAAATTGAAGATGTCACGATAATTCGCCGGATGTCCGTAAGGAGGCGACTGCCAAGAAAAACCGGAAACCCTGTGAAACACCATATTTGGCAATGCGCACCCTATAACGCGTGCAAGAAGATTTTCTCTCTCTAAACATTTTTCTAAATTGTCAAATTAGCCCCCTCCCCTTCACAATTACACTTTTTATTTTATTACAATGCTAATATTTTTCTCCTCATCTTCTTTTCTTTTTTTTTTTTTATTTGTCATCATGCTTTTTTATTAGACATTTTGAAAATAAAACACACGTTAGATAGAGATTAGCTACTATTTGTGTTTTAGTAGAGAAAAAAGGAAAAAAAAAAAAAACTTTCAAATAAATCAAATTGATAAGAATTTTTACGCTCTTACGATTAAATTGAATCAAGGAAACTGAGGCAATTTTCGGCAAGTGTTTTTTTCCAGATGACAGACGACGCACGCTTTTAGAAAAGAGCTCTCCCCCACCCCAAAGAATATCATTGGAACAAGTCCGAAGTATACTTACTTGACTTGCTTGTTGAACTGCCAAAAAAACAGAACACACACGAGTTTGCGCACGCGAAACCTAATTTTTTTTTAAAAATCTTCTAATGTAAATTTAATAATTTAATTTATTTGTTTTTTTTTTTTAATTATTTACATTATTTATAACCTAAAAATAAGGTTATATGCTCACATTAAAAGCCTAATGATTTATTCGCAATAATAAATATATTACAAACAGTCTTTGAAGTTCATTATTGTTAATTTGTAAAAATGAAGTTAATTTAAAAGTAAACTTTTTCATACACATAGTAAGAGGTTAAAGAAAACAAAAGAAAAAGACGTAAAACATGTTTTTGTTGTAACGGTTGTAACACTGTATAAATTTGGAATCAAGGTTGGGTACATAAAGGAGTAATCTTTTCTGCACGCGCTACTGGCTGTTGATTTACAAAGTAGAAAGTCCGAAATGTTAAGTGTTATTAGGGTGCTGTCACATGTTTGAATTTTTCAAGGAAAATTATAAAGTAAGATATAATTATGTTTAAATTATGTAACAGAGAAAGATGAGAAAATTTTTTTATGACTTTCTTTATAAGAGCGCTAAATTTTCACTATAATGCAGTCCAACTTGTGACGTAACGTGACGTCACTTTTCAAAATGGTGGCTGGTCGGAAGACATGCAATGAATTGAAGTCAATAGAGCGAATCAGTTTTTTTAACATAACTTTTGAAAAATTAATTTTTGAACCCAAGAGTAATTGTAAAATATTTTTTATTTATCGAGATCTATTTTTTAAAATAATAAAATCAAAAAATTAATTTTTATTATTTTAAAAATTAGATCTCGATAAATAAAAAAAAATTTTTAATTACACTTGGGTTCAAAAATTAATTTTTCAAAAGTTATGTTACAAAAAATGATTCTCTCCATTGACTTCCAACGCATTGCATGTCTTTCGACAAGCCGCCATTTTGAAAAGTGACGTTACGCTATGTCACAAGTTGAACTGCCTTATTATTTAAAAAATATTGTAACATTTAAAATGGAATCTATTGCAAATCCAATCAAATTCATTGACTTGACCATAATAATTCATCGTTATAATCAACTTTAAGCCAATGAGAACTCTCTATTAGAATGATTTCCATTTTAACGAACTAATTTTAAAAGTGTTTTTATACCTGCAGTATTTTTGTCAAGCAATCAGCTGAATTGAATTTTCGAGGTTGTATCACTGAATTTAATTGGTTCTGACAAATATTCAATTTCCACTGTGAAAATTGAATATTGTTAGAGCCAATCAAATTCAGTGATTCTCTGTGAAAATTCAATCCAGTTGACTGCTTGACCAAAATACTGGAGGTATAAAAGCACCTTAAGGGTATGTGGGCAAAGGACGTTTTTTCGTGGTTTGAAACTTTCTCTGAAATAAAAAATGATTTCTGGTTAAAATTTTGGAGAAATGATTTGGTTTGATACAAGCAATCTCGCTATTCTACTCATTAAATATAACTTAACGCAAAAATAATAAAAATAAAGCAATTAATAGTAAAATAATGTATTATATCATAGTTCATTCAGCGGCCACTCGCTCGAATTGGCGCTGTTGACTGGAGCACTGACATGGTCAAGCAACGTCTGTGTATGCGAAATATTAAAAAAATTCAACTTCATCCCGTCCATTTCTTATATTCGTTTGTGCACCGCTTCATCGCGATTTAGGATTTCCCCCACCCAACTTGAACAACCTAATAGCAGACGTATTTTTTCAGATTTTATGATATTAAGGCGCTCTCACACCTTTTTGGCTGCCAGCAGCTTACCATGGCAACGCATGAGAGTGAGTGTGATAAAAAATTTCAATATTCAAATTTTTTATCGCGCTCACACTCGTGCGTTGCCATGGTAACCTGCAGACAGGCAGCCGAAAAGGTGTGAGTGCCCTTTTATTGTACAATTTAGGCTTATTCAAATTCAAAAAATTTATTATGGTCAAAATAAATGAAAACAGCTGGCGCGGTATCAGTTCTACCAAATTTAGTTCTATACGGGGCAACTCGATACGTTAAACTTAGCACATTTCAATTCTACACAGTGAGATTAAATTTTTTTAATGTTTATTTCGATACAGTTTAAATGGATATGGCTAAATTGTGCACCGTTCAACTCTACACAAGTGAATTTCAAAAATAATAAAACGTTCAACTCTATACAGTTTAATTGTACACAGATGCTTTTGATAGATAAAAATTTTTTATATTTGTTTAATTGAATACGGTTCAGTTCTGCGCAAACATTTTTTAAAATGATGAGTGTTTAGTTGTGCACAGTTTAATTAAATACTGCTAATTTGTGCACAGTTCAATTCTACACGAGTTAATTTTAAAAATATTAAAACGTTCAACTCTATACAGTTTAATTTTAAACAGATAATTTCGATACATAAACAATTTTTAAATTTGTTCAATTGAATACGGTTCAGTTCTATACAAGCATTTAAAAAAAATAAAACGTTAAATTCTGCACAGTTCAATTCAACACGAGTTAATTAAAAATAATAATACGTTCAACTCTATACAGTTTATTTTTAAACAGATTATTTCGATTCATAAAAAATTTTTATATTTGTTTAATTGAATGCGGTTCAGTTCTACACAAGCATTTAAAAAAAAAAAAACGTTTAACTCTGCACAGTTCAATTCAACACGAGTTAATTATTATTTTTAATTAACTCGTGTTGAATTGAACTGTGCAGAGTTAAACGTTTTATTTTTTTTAAATGCTTGTATAGAACTGAACCGTATTCAATTGAACAAATTTAAAAATTGTTTATGTATCGAAATTATCTGTGTAAAATTAAACTGTATAGAGTTGAACATTTTATTATTTTTAAATTTAACTTATGTAGAGTTGAACTGTGCACAAATTAGCAGTATTTAATTAAACTGTGCACAACTAAACACTCATCATTTTAAAAAATGTTTGCGCAGAACTGAACCGTATTCAATTGAACAAATATAAAAATTGTTTATGTATCGAAATTATCTGTTTAAAATTAAACTGTATAGAGTTGAACGTTTTAATATTTTTAAAATTAACTCGTGTAGAATTGAACTGTGCACAAATTAGCAGTATTTAATTAAACTGTGCACAACTAAACACTCATCATTTTAAAAAATGCTTGTGTAGAACTGAACCGTATTCAATTAAGCAAATATAAAAAATTTGTTTGTATCGAAATCATCTGTGTAAAATTAAACTGTATAGAGTTGAACATTTTATTATTTTTAAATTTAACTTATGTAGAGTTGAACTGTGCACAAATTAGCAGTATTTAATTAAACTGTGCACAACTAAACACTCATCATTTTAAAAAATGTTTGCGCAGAACTGAACCGTATTCAATTGAACAAATATAAAAATTGTTTATGTATCGAAATTATCTGTTTAAAATTAAACTGTATAGAGTTGAACGTTTTAATATTTTTAAAATTAACTCGTGTAGAATTGAACTGTGCACAAATTAGCAGTATTTAATTAAACTGTGCACAACTAAACACTCATCATTTTAAAAAATGCTTGTGTAGAACTGAACCGTATTCAATTAAGCAAATATAAAAAATTTGTTTGTATCGAAATCATCTGTGTAAAATTAAACTGTATAGAGTTGAACATTTTATTATTTTTAAATTTAACTTATGTAGAGTTGAACTGTGCACAAATTAGCAGTATTTAATTAAACTGTGCACAACTAAACACTCATCATTTTAAAAAATGTTTGCGCAGAACTGAACCGTATTCAATTGAACAAATATAAAAATTGTTTATGTATCGAAATTATCTGTTTAAAATTAAACTGTATAGAGTTGAACGTTTTAATATTTTTAAAATTAACTCGTGTAGAATTGAACTGTGCACAAATTAGCAGTATTTAATTAAACTGTGCACAACTAAACACTCATCATTTTAAAAAATGTTTGCGCAGAACTGAACCGTATTCAATTAAACAAATATAAAAAATTTTTATCTATCAAAAGCATCTGTGTACAATTAAACTGTATAGAGTTGAACGTTTTATTATTTTTGAAATTCACTTGTGTAGAGTTGAACGGTGCACAATTTAGCCATATCCATTTAAACTGTATCGAAATAAATATTAAAAAAATTTAATCTCACTGTGTAGAGTTGAAATGTGCTAAGTTTAACGTATCGAGTTGCCCTGTATAGAACTAAATTTGGTAGAACTGATACCGCGCCAAAACAGCTAATTGAAACATTATTATTAACTAGCAATATTTTCCTCGCTTGCTAACGCTCGATCTGTTGAAGCTGTACCCGGTAAGAAGCGAAGAATTGAAAAGAATTCAGAATCTGAATTCCTTTGAATGGGTGATTTTACGTTTTTATTCAATTCCTCGATGAAGCAAAAAAAAGTAGAAAAATCTATTCTTCTTAATTGACTTGGCCAAAATTTATACTCTAAATTATATACATATTATTCTTAACAACCTGACGCTGTCAATTGTAAAACATATAGAAATGCCGCATTTATTCCCCACATTTTCTATTCTTCTAAATGCGGTCCAAAATGCGACATTTAAAATTTACTCTCCAAACATTAAATTTTTTTCTTTTCGCTTCCAAAAGTTTGAAAATAAGAAACTTCGCGCATTAAGAAAAATAAGAAGCCTGAATTCTTTTCTATTGAGTTATCTCTACTGTGAATAGAAAAGAATTTATTTTTTATATATTTTGATGTTCAATGAGAAATTGAGTAAAAACGTAAATTCACCCATTCAGAAGAATTGAAAATGATCAACTTATGCTTAATATATGCAAAATTTCAATCTTTCTCTATTCCTCCCATCTTACTAGGCAGGTTTAACAATTAGTTAAATAATTTAATACAGTACACTATTGTTTCACTTCCATTTTTACACACACTGAAAAAGTTCAGATTTACAGTAAAAATATTTGTTTATTCAACTTTTTTAAAAATGTCTTTAATTAGTCAATAAGTAAATATTAACTTATATTCTTTTAAAATCTTAAAATTTATATTCATTTTCTTTCGCTTCTTATAATATTTTTAAAAAAATTGAAATGATTAGGAATTATTAATATACTTGCCAGTTTTTTCATTCCTTTCAATACACTTTTAGAAATCTGACGCAGTCGATTGCAAGAAATAGAAATATTTAATTCATATTACAAAATTCCCATTCCTCTGAATACGGTCCTAAAACTTGACTCAGGCGATTGCGAGGCATAGAAATACTGAATTTATACCCTAAATTTCCTATTCCTCTGAATATGCTTTTAAAAACCTGACGCAGTCAATTGCAAGGCATAAAGATACCTCATTTAATCTAAAA